CAATGCAACAATACAAACTTTTCAAATGTGTTTTTCAGTGGTAATACTTAGCATTTAGATCTATCTGTTTATTAAAGGGATGAAGGAAATGGGGAGGAACATGGTGAGAAAGGAGAGACTAGAAAGAAATTTCCATACATGAGATTAGAGGATTGTGAGAATATTCTAAAAGTATTAAAGACTAAGAAGCAGAGAGATGTGTTATGTGGGCAAGTGAGACAGTGGAAAATTGCTAACGGTTCTCCTAAAAACATATAAAATATATAAGCAAGCAGAGTACGCTCATTTTTATGGGTGTTGCATGGGCTCTGTTTGTAGACCATCTTCCTCTCCGAAGCCCACGCCAGGCTCCTCACAGCCAGTCCCAGCGCCTAGTCTGTTGTGGGCGCTCAATAAATATTAAACAACCAAAGCACAAACTATTGTCAAAAAGTTTGGAATTCACAGGAATCAATAATGTGGTTATTATCATTTAACATTTATTGAGGGTCAACAGCATGACTTAGTCCACATGACTTAGTCATCATCACATATTAAGCAAATAATTAAATACAATATGTATCAACTAAACTTTCAGTTTTACTCCATTGATCTTAAATGTAAAATTGTTTCTCTCTTTTTTTATAACATTGACACATCACGAATTATAAACATTATTATTTAAATAAATAAGTTTCCCTTAGAGTAATCATTACTCTTAGATATTATTAACATTCACTTGAAAGTATGGATCAATCTACAATGTGTACACATCACAGATTCTAAACAGACCAGTGCATGTACAAAGAACAGAAGAATCTGATAAGCGTATCAAGACAGTGACAAATACACAAAGCATGTAATAGCAACTGGGTTTCACTTGCTGTTGTGACAATTGAAAACACTGATACAATTAAGTAGGGTACCATTGTTTACAAAAGAGCAACAAAGGCAAAGAAAGACAGAAACTCTTTAAATGGACACAAATTAGTGTACAGATGAATTTAGAAATAGTTCTTCTTTTAAAGCAAAATAGAATTTTTTATTATAGTAAGTGAACTGCATTATGATACATTTATGATCCACATGCTCCAATTTTACCCTTAATAAAATGATAACTAATTGTGTTCAAATTTATTCTCAGTGGATAACAGGCACTCAAATTCTATTTAATCTTTTTCTTAAATATTTTTTCTGTCAGGTTTGTACTTAAGTGGATCTTAAAGTGGTTTTTAATTTTTGTTAAGAGGATGGAAAGCTATACTTAATGTTTCTGTAATGAAACTTTCAGTTTAATTTTGGGATACTAAAATATCCAAGTTTATAAAGCATATTTTCTCTTAGCATTCAAGTCTTAGAATCTTAGCAATCAAAACTTTCTAGATCAGCCTTCTTCCTAAAAAGGAAATAGCTTCTGTATTCTGACGTGAGGAACATACTACTTAAAAATGTCACAGAACAAAATTTTTTTTTATGATTCAAAGGAGTAGAAGATCACCTAATTTAGGTCTATAATTATAAAACTAAGAAAAATTGTGGATAAGGTCTATATGTATATGTATATTTCTATATTAGACTTACATGTTGGCCTAATGGGGCAATTGTTAAATTTTCTCTTCCATTTTAAGTTTTTTTAAAAAAAATCATAATATAATAGTTGTAATTACTAAAATTTAATTTAGTCAATATCTTTAACCGTTCACCACACCCAGTTTTGTTTATGTAAGAGCACCAATTACAAAGCTCATAACAACAATGACGTAATTAATGACTAGTGCATATTTAGTAATTTCCTTCACTATTTTACTTTAAAATGGAGGGAGGGGTCGTTAAATAATTTAATCACTTATCTTCTGGTTTCTGAAATATTTGGCAACCTTTGATATCAGAAATCACATTTTGATTTACTAAAATAGTATCTTAATTGTACAGTGTTTAGAAGCACAGATCACTGAAATCTGGATCACCCAATATTCTTTTCTCCAACATTTCTTCAATGTTTTTATGCAGTCCACAAATATTTATTGAATATCCTCATGCCAGCACTGTTACAGGCCCCTAGAACAAACTCTTAAAGAAAGCTTTAATCGATGCCATGCACAGATGTGAACGAAAGAAAAAGAAAGTGATTAGCTTATCACTATTTTCTTCACCTTTTCACTGTGGGATTTAAATCACTCTGAAGGCAGAAATTAGAAACAAGGAGATGCTGGACTTTTAACTCAGATCATTAAAGTTAGCTGTGTTGACTGGTCTCCTTTCCTGTTTCCTTCACTGCCCAGCAAGTACGAAGCCACTGGATGCTCCCCCAGAAGGACCATTTTGATCCTCTGACTATTAACAAGCAAATATTATCAAAGATTTTCTTCTGAGAGAAAGCAAGATTGAAAAAGAGAGGGGGGGATTGAATTTAGGGGGGCAGGTCAATTTTTAAAAGGAATGCCAGAGAGGAAAAAGTACACTAAATATGGAAAATGAAATATTAACAAATAAACAAACTAGGCTCCATGAAATACAAGGTACTCTTTCCAGGTACAATACACAAACAGGTAAAGATGAATCCTCATGCAGCGGCATGTGTTGCAATGTTTTATCTTTGGCATTCCTCGGCCCTCACCGCAACGTGTATTGTGGAAAATATTTGTGTCTCCTGATGCTTCTAGGCCATTGCTTTTTAAATAAGGAGAAATAGTTAATGTGTGAGTGCGTGTGTGTGTGTGTATGTCTTTAAAGTGGAGAAATTTATAGAGTTTCTAAATACTCAAAATTCTGGTCTTGCCAATGTTAGATCTTCATGAGCAGAGTAACTAAAAAACATATGAACCATCATGAGTTAGAGATAAAACAGAGGTACATTTTTGGACTTTTGCAGAAGTTAGGTTAAATAATTTCTACTTCTTACATGATTTGAGGCCTAGGTTATTAGATTACATTAACATAAAATTTATTCGGCCTTTCACTAAATGAATTTTCCATAATGTGAAATTTAGCTTACTCAAAGTTTTCCAATTATAATGCAGACTAGGTTTAGAGGTTCAATATACACGATTTTACATAGATCACAAAGTTTGTTTGAAATCTATTTAAGGATTATGAAAATCATAAAGATTTTCCTCAGTACAAGTCCATAAGATCAAACTTAAATAAATGAAAATAACTTTGTAAACTAATTATACCACAATGCCTTATGAATTAGTTTTATACTATAAAAGGACACAGCTTTATAATATTTAAAACTGAAATGATTTACTAAGTCAATATAAAAAAGTCATTGAAAGAATCTTGTGTTGTTTGTACCTAAGCCAAGAGCCTATTTATAAAATAAACAGTATTTTTAATAAAAGAATGAATTTTAAAATCATTTGAAGGGGTAAATTCACATCTCTAACAGCCATTCTTGGTCTCCTATCTACCTGACCCAACATGATAGAATTAATGAAACTGATGCCAACATGCAGGTAAGAAGAAAAAAATAATCTGTGCTCACATCGGTTACATGTTAGGTACTATTATTAGTGTGGGCATTTTATATTCTAGTCAATCTTCTCTTAATTTGCTGTGGCTCTCAAAATAATCTGCAAATGCCATAGGTGAGTAATCAATGCCTTTATCCTAGAAGGAAGAAAAACTATGAAGCTTAGTGAAATCAAAGTGATTTAATAGTTTATCTCATCTATATTGATGCTGATTTTATAAGGAAATATGCCTAAGTAAATGCTAGATACTTATTTAGGAGTTTATAATTGCTCATATCCTTTCACATGTGTTTTCCTATTTGAACTCCACATCTTGTTAGACAGGCAGGTCAGGTATAATTAACTCCATTTTTTAGAGCAGAAATTTAGGCTCAGAATTTTGCCCAAGTAAACAAGTTGAAATTGGGATCCTGTCATCCTACTCCCCTACTTTATATTTTAGAGGCTAAAGTACCCTCTTCAAAAAGAAATTGACAGAAACATTCTATTGCATTCCAAAATTCCAGGTAGCCCCCAGAAGCCAAAGGAATTTGAAAATTTTTTCAATATGATTTACTGTGATTTTTATTTTGAAAAGGCCAGGGAAATAAATCCTTGACTAATTTTTAACTTAACTGAAACTTTAACCTTAGTTTACCTATCTGAAATGTGAAGGATTGAAAGATTTTCTTGATGTATTTATATAAAATATCTAAATTTCTGATACTATGAACTTAATTGAATATCAAATTTAAAAGGGGCAATTGTTTTAATTTCATTCTTGACAAAATTATTGCTAGTTCTGATTTTATGTATTTATTATAACAAATAATAAATATTATAATATATAAAAAGCAGAAGAGTGAGTGGAGCAATAAAAATTATTAGTACTCTGAGCTCTAACAGAAGGCCCAACATCACTTCAAATGTTTTTACTCTACTATACTGTAGCACTTTTCTCTAGCATATTCTGGAGTAACATATTAATATTAATAAAGCTGCAAAAATAAAAATGCATTATTGATAGCATTATGATTTGTAACTCTGAAATTTTAGACCTCTTGGGAGAATCAATTGCTGAAGTCGTCATATAAATTCAAGTTATTTACTTTTACTGCTGTTTTTTTTGCTTTGTTTTAAAATTTACATATTTCTTTTCAAGCAGTAGAAATAGCTTTTGCATAAATAGAGTTGTGTCATCTTTATTTTTTAAACTATGGTCAGTCAAGTGGTATTAAAACCACAGATCAGACGGAAAAGAGGTCTGCCAATTGCCCTGGATGATTTCCGTATTCCCAACCAACTTCAGCATTTTCCTTCATGTAATGAAGCAGTCTGTGGAGTTTTCCTGTTCTGAACTTACGCTCAAAGTTAAGTTATACAAAACAAGGACACCCCAGATTGCCACCTCACATTCTCCCTGGCACAGAAAAACATGCAAGGACAGGGACAGGGAGCAACAGATTTAAAGGTTATTGTCTTCCGCCTGTCTGAAGCGAGTGCTTTCCTCCTCATGTTGTTGTCTTTCTAAAGAAGATAATGTCAACCTCCTTCATTTTTTTTTACCTTGCTCCACTGTCTTGCTTGTTTTCTCTTCCTTCTTCCCAGGTACAGCTGCAAGGCAGAGATAAGGTTCAAATAAAAGTTCTGGATGGAAATGCTGCTTCTGCTCAAAATGGCATCTTGTAACTCATTCAAATGCCAAACATTTATTCTAAACAAGTCTATTTTAAAGCTTTTTCAACATTTCTCATTTCTCTATAATCCAACTGAAACCTACTATCATAAATCTAATCTTAAAGAATTAGAGGAAAAAAAAAAAAAACCCTTGCTGCCTCTTTACTAGCTTTTGCACACCGTTTTCTAACTTATCCTTCTATACTCTGCTTTGATAAGCAAGCTCTACAAAGAATTCCACTTGACAGGATTGTGATTAATCAACTTACATCCCAGGTTATTGCTGTAGCCACTTAGTTGAAAATGTCAACTAGACACTCCTTTAAAATTCAAGCTTAATATCACCTAATCAACTGAAAGGACGGTTTAGTCATGCTTGAGGTTCATTTAAATATTAAATGAACGCATCTCAAATCACAAGTAACCAAAAGAGAAATAAGATTATCACGTAGGTGCTGTTTCCCCTGACCAACAATTTTCTGAAATTTTACTGCTCTCAGTGGAGCATTACTTGCTTACCTGTTTATTCATCAAAGCAATAGAAAGGATTCACACAAAAATCAGTGTCCCCACTGAAATAACTGATTCCAGGAAGGATCTTCAGAGGACACTAGCAACTATCAGATGAAGGATGAATGGGGAATGAATATTCCCATCACATCCAAGTATCACCCCACAGAGTTGCATGGGGAAAAGTGCAACTTTGAAAGGAAGAAATGTGGTTGTCACCATCCTAACCCACTGATGAAATTTAGAACCATTCACTCATAATAGGACATCCTGACATTCTGCGCTTCCTAACGACATGCAGCGTGGTTTACACAGTATGACCTCTGACGTATTCTTGCCAAGCATACAACTGGAATCAAGCTAAGCCAAAGATTCAGCTTTCAGTTTAATCAAATACAAGATAGAGAGAACATATTAAATAATATTCTGAAGAAACAATCATAGAAATCAAAAGTGTCTACAGTGTGACTGACCATGATATTTTCAAAAAGTTAATGCCATGAACTAGAGAGAGAGAAAAAGGAAAAAAGCCTTTTCTTTAACATTAAACTTGCTAAATTCACTGTTATAGTAGTTCATCTGCAGATTCTTTTGAATTTTTCAAGTAGATAATTTCATCTGTGAATAAAGCTTTAGTTTTTTGCTTTTCTATTTTTGCATCTATTACTTCTTTTTCTCACCTATTGCGCTGGCTAGGATATTTAGTACAATGGGTAATAGAGGTGCTGAGAGCAGACATCCTTGTTCTAATTCTCAGGGAGAAATTTTTCCCTTTTTCTTCATTGAGTATGATATTTGCTAATGGTTTTTGTGTATATCTTATAGATTAGAGACATTTCTTTTATTCTAATATGAAACATATCAAATGCATCTACTATGATAAGTATATTTTCCCTTTATTTTGTTATTCTGGTTAATTACACTGATTTATTTTTGAAATTGCATTCAAGAAATAAAACCAACTTGGTTACTTTTTATCTTTCACATCTATTATCAGACTGGATCTAATATTTTGTTTATATCTGTGCCTCTATGTTCACAAGAGAAGTTCCCTGTATGATTCCTTTCTTTTTGTTTCTTGCTAGGTTTTTGAATAAAGGTTATTCTAGCTCCATAAAATGAATGAATGTTTCCTCTTACTCTGTTCCTGGGAGGTTTGGTGCAAGACTGGTGCCAAGTTTTCCTTAAATGTTTGAAAGAATTCACCAGTGAAGCCATCTTAGCTAGAATTTTCTTTGGGAAAAATTATAATTATGGATTCAGAATGTCAATTTTATTAACATTTTCAAATTTATTGGAACTGTTTTTATTTTTTAATTATCTGTAGAATCTGTAGTGTTGCCCACTTTTTATTTTCTGATAATGTTTTGTGTCTTCTCTTTTTTTCTTAATAAATTTACACAGAGGTCTACCGGCTTTATCAGTTTTTATAGAGGTCTAATTTTGACTTTTTGCTTTCTCTATTGTGATGTTTAATTTCTATTTCATTAGCTTCTGCTTTTACATTTAAAAATTTCTCTTCCTTCTACTTTCTTTGGATTTCATCGAAAAATTAATTTAAATTAAAAAAAATTTCTTCCTGAATATTTGTTTTCAGCCTTTCTTCTTTTCTAATGAATGTTTTTAAAGAGTAGAAATTTCACAAAAACACTGCTTAGGAACATATTTCCAAAATTTCACTGTCATTTTTTTCTTTGACCTATTTGGAAATGTTCTGCTTTTGTTTCTCACAGCATCTAGCATTATTTCAGACATAGCAAGTGATCAATACATAATTGCTTGGTGACTAAGTGTATTAATTGAAACCCTAGCCTTCTAATGCAGTAAATTTGAATGCTCTCCAGATGATTCGGATTCTGTTGAGCTTAAACAGCTGCATTTCTTCAGTTTTTCAACACTAACTTAACCATCAAGCTATAATCACTAGTTTTAGTTTGGCCCTAAAGGAACAAAACTATTGGCATTAGACCACTGAAGACAAAGCCCTGTTAACACAGATATTACAACTCTTGTTCAAAATGAGTTTGCTTCCATATCAGTGAAATAGTAAAACCAATAAACAGAGCTCTTCTATAAGCACTAAACAGTATGTTAAGTGAGAAACCTTAGCGTAAAGAAGCTATAGTCATGACATCTTTTTCTTTCTGCGGTATTTACCTTTTTTAGTTGAGGCAGCACCAACCTCTTCTTTGGCTCGTTCAGTTTCTGTAAATTCAGACATTAAAGAACGAGAAATGGATATCAGACATGCCAGGCCGGTATCTTAGGGTATTCTAAGTCAGACAAGATGAAAACTGCCCAAAGGCTAAACTATATGTGGCATCTGAGAGCAAAGCAAGCAGCAGAACTCCACGCCATAATGTGCTTGTATTTTTTTAACTTATGAGCTTTCTTAAGTAACAATAGAGAAACTCTTGCAAGATACAACCCTGTGGTATTAAATTTTATGCTTATATTACTTATGCTTGTAAGTAATGACCATAAAAGAAGGTGGCTTATTCCACAAAATCACACTGGAACACTAATTTATTAGATTATAATCAAATCTTAAATGATGCATGAGTTGTGGGGAAGAACACTTGATAGGCCTTCTTTGTTTAGCCAGGGATGGCCAGCCATATTTGGCCTCAATCAATCACTTTATAGTATAAAATATTAGCCATAATGTTACAGAAAATTCCATTTGAATATTGCTTTGAGAGAGAGGGGGGAAAAAACGGATTAAAAAAAGGCCAAAATGGCTTCTTGGAGTTTTTCTGAACACCTAGGGTGGAAGATAGGGGAACTCTCCTGAAAACATAATCTGAAATGCGCATCCTAGTACAAAATATTATACCTCAAATTAAGGCTAATTAAAGTTGAAGTTTTCTTTGATCCTCAGGAAAATTAGAAAATGACAATGAGCTGGTAAATTTTTACAAAGTTTAGTTACTCATTTTATTAACTTTAAATTATTTGAGGCTGTTGCCCTAGGACACCTGTATTTGTAGTTTTACTTTTATTCTTCTTTGCATGTGTGTATAACCCTGTTACTCATTTTACAGTCAGTGGCTAAGGCTCTAGAAACAATCAAAAAAAGGGTCTTCACGCCCCTTTGTCTTCCCTGTGCCATAGATCTTGGGCTGTGAGAGAGATCAAATGTCAGGAACAGACTTTCACATCGCTTTCAAGTTTTAATTCCACAGTATTAGATACCACACACTTCATAATTTGAGCCCAGACAAGAAGCCCTGGAAATATCCTCTTCTCCAGGCCGTTTCAGGATCCTGAGCTCCAGGACTAAGCAGATCCTTGGATGTTATACAGCTTTGAGGAAAGACTAGACCAGTGGCTCTCAAATTTGGCATGCATCAGTCACCCAGGAGAGCTGTTCAAACACAGATCCTGGACCTGATACAGTAGGTCTGGGCATGCCCTAAGAATCTACATTTCTAACCAGTTCCCAGGTGATGCTTATGTTGCTGGTCTTGGCAATATTTTGGAAATTAATTACCACACTTCCCCTAAGACACAAGGGGACTGGTCCCCCTGGAATCGTCAACCTTCACTTCAGGTACTATCACAAACCTAGGCTTTGTATTTCTCCTAAAAACAGACTCTTTTCCAAAGTCTTTCCACTGTGTCATCTCTCTATCACAGCTTGCCTCCGTATATCCTCAGCTTCTTCTCAAAATGCGCACTTTGCTTTCTTCCTTTAACCAAACTCTAGTTCCCTGAGGACATTGCATCCTCTGTAGTCTTCTAAAATTGGAAAAGTTTTTTTTCCATCTCTTACATACCAAAGTGCTTACTTCTGCTTTTTAACTAATGCTTTAAATTCTGTTTATAACTTCTCTTTACTTCTTATTATCTCTAATATGACCTCTTCGCTTCCTCCAAATCCCGATTGTTTTGAAGTCCATGCTATCAGGTTGCACCTGGCTCTAACCTGCTCTGTTGTTGCCATTAACCGACCTCGTGCCTGTGCCCTGTTATTTACCCATTTCTACACATAGTTATCCTCTCTACTATCACTATTGTGACTTTTCATTAACCACTCTCAATTCAGGCCTCACACTAGACTAAGCTGGGGAGTTTTTATAAATCTATGAGATTAAAACATAGTGGATCCAGGATGGGCTTCTGATTCTTAGTTAATGAGTCTGGGATGAAGCCTGGCCATTTGTCTATTTGTAAGCTTGTTTCTGTCATACATTTACATGCATATATTCTTTTTCATTATAGGTTACTCTAAGATATTGAATATAGTCCCTTGTGCTACACAGTATAAACATGTTGTTCATCTACTTTATATATAGTAGTTAGTATTAATTCTTGCAATTTTCTTCCTTCAAATCATGTGCTGAGATGCAGTGTTAAAATAGTTAAGCCAGATAGCCATTAGACTTGGATAGCATTAGTGTTTTTGGTGGTCTACATAAACAAAACAAAACCAGTCAACTAGATTGAGTCAACTAGATTTTTCCTGAATCAAGAAAATGATACTCAAGAGCTACTATCATAACAGCCAAATAATGAAATTTTCTCAAATAAGGCAATATATGTTATAGCCAATATGTTTTGGGTTTTTTTCCTTCACTTCCATGTCACCTCTATAACTTTTGACCTAGCTCCCATTGGTAGAATGCTCTCAATCTTTTTCAGTTTTTTCACTGCCCTACTTGTTTCACTGTTTACTCAAATAAGCTGTTTAACTTTTTACATAAGCAATGCTGATATGAGGAGCTGCAGTTGATTGATTTAGCTGCTGTATAGTATTTCACTGAACACATATTCAAATTCTAAATTATGCATCCATTCTCCTGCAATGGACACTAGGTTATGTCTGATTTTGTGTTATTATAAATAACAACTTTACTTTTTACATGGACTTGCTCTAATCCTGTCTATCTCACCATTCTTTTTTAATTCAACACCACAAAATTATATCACATAAATAATTTATGTTAATTAAACTATATATCTACTCTCTCATTTCCTCTCATAACTTAAGATAATGTAAAATTATACCATGAATATTCAGGTTATATACACAAAATTATGTGCCTCATATTATATGGGTGACTGAAGGAATTTTTCAAGAGTATTTGTAATGATATGCAATTTTCACCTTAGGCATTAACTTTATAAATAGCTTACTGTATATAGAAGTTATGTAAAACTTCTTCTGCTGTATGGTTTCAAGACCAAAAGAGAAAAAAAGTTTTTAGTTGGGGAAATGGATGGTCATATTGTTAGCAGAGATTTTAAACAACTTATGAATTATCTCTAATTAACTTTTATATTGCAAGATAATGCCTTGTTAAGTTCAAATCTTTCAACCGTATAAGGAGTTGAGTATTAATTCTTCGGAAACTTTTATATTGGGTCTAAGATGATTTGGCAACTAAATTTGCTAATTTCCTGCAAAAGATGCTGATCTCTTAAAAACTTGATTGGATAGTGTGTTTCATAGACAGCAGAACTTACAGGGTTTTTTTTTTTTTGCAAATGAATATTTTTATCTAAATGTCACATTTTTCTAGGAAGAAATGTTCATTTTCAGAGTAATCTCCAATCTAAAGTTCTCTACCAGTACTGCAAAATTATCAGTTTTGTTTTATATATTTTCTTGATTATGCATTCTACAGACTAAGTATTAGCATACTAAATACTCCATAATAAGAAGTTCTAATCAGTTTTGTATTCAACTAAAATTTTTCATGAAAATATAAATGGAATTTTAGATTTATGTTACATCTCTCCTCCATAATGTCTTTGGAAACATGTTCAACTGTAATTTTTTAAAAGACATTCTCACCAAGCTACTTGATATTATATTTTCCAATTTTTCTGATATATTCACCAATGATATACTCTGTCTCAAAAATCTGGCAGTAAATAAAGAAAGCATGCATTTGTGTTTTGTATTAGTACCATCATTAATACTTTTGCAGCTCTAAATTGAAAGGAAAATATAAACGTAATTACGTTGTGCATAGAAATAAGGTTTGATCATAAATCTTGTATACAAAGTTTAAAGAAGCTACAATAATATTTTTCTAAACTTAAATATACACCATTATACCTAAAATAATTTTCATTAATGGCAATTTATTAGGTATTTCATCAAATTGAAAAATACCAACAAAGAAATACGCATTTACCTTTAAGCATATTGTCAAAGCTACTATTGATGCAAATGCCATGGTATATTATAATTTTCAGTCAATATTCATAATCTGATGATAAAAGCCTTAAAAGGAAATTATGATATTGCAGGAGCAGTAGTTAATAAAAATTTTGGGGGTCTTCATTTCATTAAAAACACAATAGCTTTCACTGGTAGGCAAATTATGTTGCCTTTTGGTCTGATCAAGTGATTAATCTTTAGGAAAATTAAGTCTAATTGTTTAATAAACTGAAAGATCACTTATCATTCTGCAAAATGGAAAACAAAAATAAAAACAACTCAAAAAGGGGTTATGATCTGGACAAATTAACAGTTACAAATGAAAGTTTGATAGATAAATTTTAGTAAGAATGAATGCATGGAAAAGACAAGGTTGGGTAATTATGCATGTTATTTGAATACAACAAATAACCATAGCAATAAACATTTGGTAAGCCAGCCTCAAAAATTAGCATTAGCATCGTCAATAGCAGAAATTTAAATGAGTAAGCTGCTGAAATACACTTTTTGTTTTTTCAAGTTTTATTCAACATACTTGCTTTAACTTGTTTTTCACTTGGAGCTGTTAAGAACAAGAAATAACAAGATCTAAATCAATTATAAGTTTACTTATGTCTCTCTAAGTAGTTTTAAGGTTATTTTCATTTTTTTAAAAGACTATATTATAAACTTGGAAACTAAGGAAAAAAGGGGGTCTGAGAAAGCAAATACAATGCTGTGCTGTTTTCTTTGCTATACTTTAAATATACGCCATGAACCCAACACAGAATGCTCATTCATGACTGATTCATTTTGTTTTCCATTTTAGATTATCTAAGAATCTGATTGTTTTAAATAGAAGTCAATGCAGTTTCCTTAAAGTCTACAAAATTATATAAGAAGGAAGTGAATTGGTAAATTATCCAATGGTTTCAATTCTAAAAATACAGCTAATTATTGCTAATTTGCTACACTGTAATAACATCCTAGAATGAACAGGATGACTTTAAGAAATTTGAATTATTGGGTTTTGTCAGGTTTAATCTTGGATAATAACTTTTAGCTATTGAAACTCTCAAAATTGATTATACCAATGGTCATTCTTTATGTCTCTCCATGCTTATATGTATCTGTGATCTATGCTCTATTTCAGCTTTCTGCATATGTACATACATGAGACTATGTGTTATGGCCCAACTATGGGAATGTTAGCCCCAAACACATAATCTGTTCCCTGTAAGGTAGGCAAAAACATTCATTCCTTCCCAAAGGATAAGTAATATCAGTGTAAATGTGAAGTAGTGAAATGTGTTATTATTTCATAGAGTAAATTAATTAAAAGTCATTCATATTTAAATTTTTTAAAATTATGATTATTCATTTTGATGTTTCTCTTTTCATCCAATCAAATGTTATCAAGTGCCCAAAATGTTTCTGACATTATAATAGGCACTCAGGGGATAAAGATATAAAAAACAATCTTCGTTTTCTAATTTCTGACTGTTTAAAGTGGAAAAAATAAAAGCTAATTATGATTACAACAGTATATTAAGTGTTTTTATAAAAGAAAGAAAACAATGCTATTGGAACTAGTTGCTGAGACATCTAAATGAATTTGGGTCTTCTGAGGAAGTCTTACAAACCTGGAAGAAGAGTAAGAAACTGTGGCTTTGAATCTGTGGTTTGCTATGGTCTGTGATGGGGTGGGCATCTAGTTGAGCTATATTTGCATGGTTATTTATGTAATATTATAATTGCTATTTGAATGCATTGCCAATGTAAAAACTATCTCCATTTAAATACAAAAAATGGGAGGAGTGCCTATTAGACATTACATGAGGCTATGACCACCTACACCTACACACACACACACACACACACACACACGTAATCAGTAAAGTTCCTTGAGCAGAAGTTTGCCAGATAAAGCCACAAGTGGTGTTTTGAAACCAGATCAATAAAAAATGTTTTCAGAAATTTGCATTTATTTTCATTTGAAACAACAAATAGGGCAAGTAAGTTAAATGCCAGAAACTTTTAAGAAAATCATTTGATATCTGTACTGACTACATTCTTAATTTTTGTTTGTATGTATGTTATTCTGATTGTACAATTCTTCATTCAGTTTTCTCTCTCATTTGAATGTAAATATATTGAGGACAAATTCTACCTCTACTTCTATTGCAACTCCCCTGAATACTCAAGATGTGTCATTAAATAACATTTTGAATAGGGAAAGAATATTTGCTGGAACCAAGTAGTTCATATTTTAAAAACAAAGAAATATCAGATGCATTTACAGGAAGGGTTTTGTTTTTATTTTGTTTCTGTAAAACAGTGTTCCTCAAACAGTGCTTTGACAAATTCACTGGGGATCTCAGGAAGTTGAAAATTCTGATTCAGTAGGTCTGGGGTGAGACCAGAGATTCTGTATTTCTAACAACCACTCAGGTGATCCTACTGCAGCTGGTTCACAGAAAACACACTGAGTAGCAAGAGTGTAATGTATTATTTGGCTTCCATTTGCAGAAAACTGCATTGCTGTTGACTCTATGTCAAGAACTTGGGAAAAAAAGACATCTCATAAGAGAGAAGAATCCCCTGCCCTTCCCTGTCATGGCCCTTACCCCTGTCTGAGGCTGCAGCACTAATAAATCTCAGACATCAAGTAGAGAGACTGCAGCAACACCAGTCTGACTCACCTGAATGTTCCTTCTTTGGCAACTTTGCTATATCAGACAAGAAAAGAAAAAAAGTCAACATTCCATGCCGTTTGATCATAATTCAATATTCAATTGCAGGCTGATATCTTGAAATTAAGAGGATAGAGGAATTTAAAAAGTTACCTGGTTCCACATGTTTTTCTTTCTTTTCCTGTTCTGAAACATTATTTTTTGTTATTATTATCATTATTATTCCAATTTTATATGTCACAACTTAATTGTTTTAAGATAAAGAAACATGTATATGCTAATGCTGGATTGCAGCCATGAAAAGACTAATATTGTATATTTAAAACAAGTTTTTCCATTCCCCCTCAGATTTCCCTCACAGAATAGCAATAAAAATATTCTGAATATTAGAGGCATTAAAATTTTTCATGGATAATAAACCAGAAAAATAAAGTAGGGTCTGTAAAGGATGAAAAAAATTAAATCTGCTTTCTCATAAGATCAACATGAAGTAAATTTGGGATCAAAAGCTAGCACAAAGGATAAGTATTGCAGCTGCTTGAAAATAATTCTCAGATAAGGATGAACACATTTCCCATGGACTTCCTCTTCTAAGGTGAAATTTTCTTATACTGAGCAGGTATTTGTGTAGCTAAGACAAAGGCTTTGCTGAGGCAGATTTAAGACACTAAAAATAGATTAATAATTTTCAGGGGGAAGCAAAAAACATGTTCCTTGTTTGTAGGAGAAATGCTCCTTACAGAGCCCTTTTCAGGTAGTGTTTCTTTATACGAAGTCATTTTTGCTAATATTATATGAGACAAAGCATTATTCTGGCTTCAAGATTAAGCTGACATTTATATTGTAATAAGCACTAATTTTATATGAAGTGCAAGTACTAATTTTATATGAAGTGCTATTATCTACATTTCTATTCTTATTTATTTAGCCTTGACAAGCTTGTCAAATTAATTTAAATGAAGATTTTCAAGAAATGCTTTAACATAGACACATTATCTTCTGATTTAAAAAAAATAATGAAGAAATGTCTTCAAGTTTCATTTAATGAATACATTTCAGAGACTAGCAGAGTTTTATGCTCAAAGAATTCTAGGAACTATATTTTAGAAACAGAGTGTCATCAAATCTTCTATGGTTATCTCAATAATCTCTCAAGTGCACAATTTTCTTTACTAGGCTTGTAGTTGTGAAGATATAATGAGCCATTTATTTACTCCCAAGATAGCAGGAAGGCAGTAAAACAAATAAAACAAATGGTTTGAACAAGTATTACAAGTCAAACAGAAGTAGTACAGGTGCCTTAGCTGAAATTAAACACAGTTAAGAACGTTAATAAAAATTGCCTGGAAAACATGGAGTAATCAAATGGATTGTTAAATTTATTGCCGAGCCAAAGCACTAATCATAAAAACATTTCTAAGAAATTTGTAAAGTGATGACAATAAAAAAAATACTGGAAGTTGATTTGGGTATGCATCAAAATCAAATTCTAGCGATATGTGAAGTTTCTGAGTTAAAATAAGGGCCTTTCAATCGTATCAGAAAGTCATAAGCAGAAGAATACCTGTGCTAATTTGGAACAATATACAAGAAAAGGTTGTCAAGAGTATTTACTGTATGGAACAGTTCAGGATCTAATTATTGAATTATCTAAATAAATATAAATTAATTTACCCTTTAATTCTACAGGGACAAAGCATACTTATGAAGATTTTTTTTTTACTTTTTATTCTGAAAAAATTATAGATCACAAGAATTTGCAAAAATATGTATAGGAAAGTTGCATGTACTCTTCCCGCTTGTTCCCTCATCATGATTTGTTTTAAACTGGAAAAAAAAAAAAAACCCTTTAAGTTGTGATAACTAGAAAAGGAGAAGAAAAATAAGAATATAGGGTTGGAGATGTATAATTGAATAAAGCAATCTTAAAGTTACAAAAACCCCAAAACTGAGTTCAACAAATTCAAAAATATGACCATAACAATAGTAATAGCAAATCCAGATGATAAACTAGAGCAAATATGTTAATTTGAAAAGAATTAGTCATAGTTTAGAAGAAAACTCTTTTTTCTTCTCCCTATTATTGCCCAAGTACAATCCACGGAACTTCCCAATGAGGGAAGCAGTTAGGATGTAAATGAATGTCTGGGAAGGTGTATTTATTTACCAAATATATCAATGCCCTGAAAATTGCCAAGGAGCCACAGTGTGTCTGTGAGAACTTTTAAATCACATAGACTGTAATAAAGTGAGGGCCTTCAGGTTATATATGTATTATTTAATACCATTTTTCAAATCTCCAGTTGCCCTCTATTTCCCTGCTGGTGCAATGGTTTATAGAGTGGTCTGTGTATCCGTGTGCCAGCGCTCGCCAGCCGCTGTGCACCCACATAAATCTGGGACTGAAGGATCGCATACTCTGTGTGGATAGATTGCTCCCCCTGGCTGAGCCGTAGTACAACTTCATGATTCTCTCCCTGAGTCATCTTAGCGTACTTTTATGACAGAGAACGTCTCCATGTCCTAAACTTGCAGGACCAAAACACACATAAATCTTTTTCTTTTTAATTGGTATATATTTTAAAACTTGTTTTTAATATCACTAGGATTTCTTAAAGCTCTACATACCTGGGGATTTGATGATTTTTAATAGCTAGTTGAGTAGGGTTAAGTTGGTATTTTTTTGTTTCTGTTTGTTCAATATATCCCATTTCTTCAAAGAAGAGTATATATTTGCAAAAAACACAACTTCAAAGCATCAAGCTTTACTGAATTGTTAGCAAACAGCTTTAATAATATGTGTTAAAGCAATAGTGAATGCTTCCTAAGATCTGAATCCCAAGCTGTGCTATTTCAACAGAGTTCATAGTGCTGGTAGGGAAAAAGAATCATGAATCATGAGAACACGCCAAAATATTAATGAATTACAAGAGGAAAACAGAAAAGAGATTGTAAAACTAGCTTGCAAAAGAACTTCTGTTCTATTTTCTAAGTACAGAACTAACCAGATTAAAGAGACTAGATTTACACTAATATAATACAGTTTTGGTTAATGGAATGCAGTTATATTTTTCAGTTATGAGACTGTGGATAATAATATTAGATGATTGCATGAATTTGAAAAAAAGACTCTAAGACAGATAGTCATGCTTTTCAGTCCACTCTGATCATGCCCCTCCTCAGGTTGTCTGTTCCTTCATTCTGACAAAAATATAGAATTCACATGCATACAATGTAGAAAAGAGAGACTCAAAACCACGAGTTTATCAGCAGGCCAATGGTAGTAGTGAGAAAAAATATGCACTTGGCATGCATTTCCTTACTTTTTCCCTTGTGTGGTTCTGTTGAAAGAAATATAAACAGAAAACCATTGCTGATCAAACCTTTAAGGATAAAATTTACTCCCCCAGCACTTGGTTAGACTGTTCCAATCCTGCTCCCCTGCCCCCAAGTCTCTCCCCTTAAATTTCACAGTGAGCATTGCTCTGAGGTATTGCTGCTTATCATAGGTGTTTCCATAAGCTGATTGTAAAACATTATTCAACAATGAATTAACCTAGGATTATACTGTTTAACCATTTTAATGATTTATATCTTACAGTCTTATTAAATGCATATGAGTGCAGAAACACATTGTACACATAAACACATATGAACAAATACGGAGGAACAGGTATAGCTGCCACATGATTTATAATTCTATTCAAGACTTAAAGGAACAATTCAGTTCCACTGATGCTGGCGTGTCTAAGATTAATTAAATTTATGCTTTCCAGCAAAATAAATGCTCTACACTGAACATTGTTCAATTCCTTGTCAAGCAAGTATTTCTTTATGAGAAAATAATTACTATGAAAGGTAAACATTAAGCAGCTTTTATTTTTCATTACTGCCAAGTAGTTTTCATAGCATTATTGTCAGAAAAAATTCTACTCTCTCTCTTTCTCTCACTCCTTGTCAATATTTTTCTCTCTCTTCTTTATCCGACATATAGTGTTTTTTTTCCTATGTGACTCCTTCAAAAAGGAATGATGGTTGGGAGTTTATCAAATAAAAGACAGAAAAAGGAAATATGCCCAATACCTTCTGCAGGTGTTTTTGTTTTCTTGGAATCTGAAAGCACAAAAATAAATTATTGATAAAACAGATAAGAAAAATCAAAACCTGATGAGCTCACAAAAACATGTCCATATACGCTGAAATCATTTTCAATGAAATGGATTGATTACATGATGCATTTCTAGAATATGGGGCTTCAAGAGAAGTTATTCTGTTTTTGAGAGGATGAGTATCAGATTGAGGCAGGAAGGGAGAAACTTTTGATGGACAAAATATAGCAAAATATGAAGGAAAATATCCACATCTAATTTGGAAACATAGATTCTTACAGCACAACAGTTGAAAGTGTGAAGTGGAGGGTTCAATGGCCTGCACGAGTTATCAATTAACTTGACTCCAGTATAACTAGGATAGGATTTCTGCCTGCCCAAGTGGTCATGTGATCTTTTGAGCCCAGAATACAGCCAATATGGAAAACACAGAAACATTATGGTGGACATATAGTCATTCAGGAATACAATTGAAAATAAAGCTTGGGAAGAACAGCTGAACAGAGAGAGGATGAAACGTGGCAGATTAGGACAAGATTACTTTCCAACCCTCCTGTTCTTCAACTAGATCCTGGAATGGGGTAGGGGTGAAAAGCTAAATACACTGTGTGTAAATTTAGGAGTTCTGTTGTTTTTAATCTGTTTTTCTTTTCCCTAGTAACAAGAATTGATAATGTATTATATTAGACATCAATTGTTCTGAAACAAAAGAATAAAAAATAATGCAAAGTCCAAGGTCAAGTAAAGTACATCACTTATTGAGATAAAGAAAAATATTTCACAAAGTAGAAATGTAAAAAATAACAAGCCATGATCTAATCAAGTAGGTCTTTTAAAAAGTTAAATATATTTGCAGTAAGAGCTGGGAGCTATAGTGAAATATACTTAAATGTCATCATAACTTCCTGCCTTTTGGTTAGGAGTCAACAGAGCAGCAGACTTACAAAGGTAAAAAACCCAAGCAACCAAAAAATACAATGGTTGTAATTGAAAGATCACATCCTGACCCTGAAGAGCTATTAGTACCAGTCCTTAATACTCATGCTATTAAATTTCATTATGCCCTCTCAGCACTCTGCTGCAATGGCTTAAAAATAGTCTAAAGGTTTAGTTGGTGAATATACTTCCCTAAAGACCATCTTCCCAATAATCTGGACAACAGTCTTTTATTAAGAAAATGGAGACCCACAGCAGCTGTGATTTAAAATCAGTGATGTGTTTGCAATCTGCTCATCACTCACTCATCTTTAGCAATGTATCAGGTATGGTCTATTACGTTCATAAATGATGCCAGAGGAAAATGAAATCCCAACTAATATTGAAGGTAAAAATGAACTCTTGATAGTCTAATAAATCAAGTAATGAAATATGCCGTTTTTGTATGTGTGGAACTTGCCCAATTGACATCCTTATTCAATTACAATACCAGATGTTTTGCTTTGTTTTTCAGCATGATTCCTCTTCAGAGCTCAGTGATGAAGCCCTAAAATTTAAGACTAATTCTCACATGCATTCAGCTCTAATTGTTCTTGCCCTAGTTATAGTAAATAATAAATCTCATCTGGCTGATTCTCAATGGAGCTGTATCCTTCAGAAGACAACCTGTGTTTGAAAAACCCACAGGCTTTCCAGCCCCTAGAACTTCATCAATGAAGCCAAGATTAGATGAATGAGATCCAGGTAGATCTTCCAGTGAAACTCAAGTAGCTGCTAGTGATCATATACACCTAAGATGAAGTTGTCAAGAATTGGCTATAATTTCCCTGACCTAAAAATCTCACTGTAATGTAACTCCCAATTAAAAAGAAATCCTTCTTTGCTGGTGACATAGAAAATTGAGTACTCATATTTCTTATGGCTATAATATTTATCCTAAGAGTCCTAGATATTCCTGATTCATTCAATATTTGTTGAGCAGTATGCAAACTAAGGAAATGTGTTAGTCCTTCTAGAGGATAAAAGTGAATTAGACATGGTCCCTTTAGTCAAAAGTCTTAAAGTCAATTAGAAGGAAAATGATGCAAGTAACATGAAGTACAAGGTGGCATGAAATAAGTAACAGTAAAGATGTATACATAAATTCTGAAGGGAGATTATAAATGAATGAGAAAAAAAAGAACAGAGTAAGATCTATCACAGTAACAGCAGGAACAACGGCAAGACAGCTCATTGTATATGTAAAATTGAGACAGGCTTAGTACAGATAAAATATGTAACATATAAAGGACAAAAGTGGGTGGGACTATAGGTACAGGCTCAACCACAGTGCCTTGGTGGCCTTGAACTGTCCACGTACTACATTTCAACCATAGCTAATTCTGAGTCTGGCAGGATGCCTTGCGATCCTTCCACAACATAAGAGGATGGGCGGTCTGTGAGGACTTGCTGTGAGGCTATCATCCATATGCCTCTCTCATCACCTCTGGGTTCTCCTGACTAGAACCCTTTGACTATAGAGCTGCAGACCCCAAAATCATCCAGCTGTTGCCTAGATTTGAGTCTTCAGCAATAAAGTTTCCCTAACTTGTGTTGCATTATCTGGCCGTCACTTTTGGTGTGTAGGACAAAGACCATGAAGGGTTGGCACCTTTAGATACTCTTGCTTTTGCTGGCCATAAAAGTAATAAATTGTCTCAATCTCGAAAGAGATCGTTGTATCTTTACTGGTGGAATTTTCCAGTCCTTGGCTTTGACTTTGCCTTGATGTATTCTTGACAGGAGGTCAGGAAAACAGTCTGAGGGGACTTGAATCACAGGTTAACGCCTGTAGACTATGTTCTGTGGTCAGTGTGGAATATTTTAAATGGATAATGACATGAAGCATTTCATGAAGTCTGTTCAATACTTTGGAAGAAAATATTTAGAGATTCTCATACTTTTTCATCTCAAGACTTTAAATTCCTGACAATTGTAAAGGACACCAAATAGCTTTTTATTTATGTAGGTTCTATCTATGACATTTATAATTTAAAAAATTAAGGTGATGAATTAAAAAAATATATGTATTTATTTATCTAAAAAATTAAAAACCTGTTACATGTTAGTATGAGCATATTTTTACAGCAAATATGTTTTCCAATATCCAAAAAATGGTAAGATGAGGAACTTTGTTTTACACTTTTGTGAATCTCCTTAATGTTTGGCAAAGGTAACTTTCTTCTTAAGT